CAGCTTGCAAAGTTAGGCAAGAAATGTCAAGCATTGAATAGTTTGGAAGCTTACTTGCCATAGAGATGGTAAGTTAGGCAAGAAATGTCAAGCATTGAATAGTTTGGAAGCTTACTTGCCATAGAGATGGTAAGTTAGGCAATAAATGTCAAGCATTGAATAGTTTGGAAGCTTACTTGCCATAGAGATGGTAAGTTAGGCAAGAAATGTCAAGCATTGAATAGTTTGGAAGCTTACTTGCCATAGAGATGGTAAGTTAGGCAAGAAATGTCAAGCATTGAATAGTTTGGAAGCTTACTTGCCATAGAGATGGTAAGTTAGGCAATAAATGTCAAGCATTGAATAGTTTGGAAGCTTACTTGCCATAGAGATGGTAAGTTAGGCAATAAATGTCAAGCATTGAATAGTTTGGAAGCTTACTTGCCATAGAGATGGTAAGTTAGGCAATAAATGTCAAGCATTGAATAGTTTGGAAGCTTACTTGCCATAGAGATGGTAAGTTAGGCAATAAATGTCAAGCATTGAATAGTTTGGAAGCTTACTTGCCATAGAGATGGTAAGTTAGGCAATAAATGTCAAGCATTGAATAGTTTGGAAGCTTACTTGCCATAGAGATGGTAAGTTAGGCAAGAAATGTCGAGCCTTGCAGACTTTTCATTTTTTTCCTTGTATTTCATGGTTAACATTTTTTATTCGTAAATACCCTTGAATATATCCCCTGTCTTTATAGTAATGTTAAATTTAGTTTTGAGTAAGAAAGTTAGCTGTGATGAGGATTGAAGTAGCTGGAGAGCAGCAAGTACTCTGTCTGCTGCCAAGCTACAAATGATGACATCTCATATTTAAACAATGTTTCATCAGTAATGTCCATCTTTAATTGACAGAGAGATTGTAAGCAAATGACAGATGCAATCAGCTGGGAAGAAATAATTATTCATACTCCATGGACTCATTAAATATCATCATCCCACAAGACTAATTTATTCATTTTAGAATGACAGCGAGGAGACATTAATCTTGCATGTGTTAGTATTGTTGCAATAACATTGATGGTTTTACTGACTTGATGCAGGTGGTTGTCAGCCTTGTCATGTTAGGTACGTTATTCAGACGGTCCCTGGGAGTGAGGATCAGCTGTGCTTCTCTGCATTAAACATTTACATAATGTGTAAACATAACTTGCTGTATGAAGTAACTCATTTGCTTGTCTAAATGAAAGAGTAAAAACATTCTGGCATTATTTGGCAGTTTTGCCATGCAATGTGCTGATTCCCTTCTACAGTGGCTGCTTTGCATCATCCAACAAGTGCTTGAAGAACCAAAGGTTAATGCAAGTGTTTTTGGGGGGGGGGGGATTTCCTTCTCGCTGACTGAGAATTAAACCAACAGTTTTCAAATTAAACCACAGATGATCAAGTTATTTTGTTGACATCCAAATTTCATCCACTGTTAGATAAGCATTCCAGATGAATTAACACAAAAATTCAACAACAGTCGTTTTGGCGTCTCCGTCAATGTCCAGCAATTTAAATTATGTAAACTGCTCTTGAATGTTAGCACCATACCCTGTCTCCATGGCTTTGCATTCACTAAATGTTAGCACCATACCCTGTCCCCATGGCTTTGCATTCACTAAATGTTAGCACCATACCCTGTCACCATGGCTTTGCATTCATTGAATGTTAGCACCATACCCTGTCTCCATGGCTTTGCATTCACTAAACGTTAGCACCATACCCTGTCCCCATGGCTTTGCATTCACTAAATGTTAGCACCATACCCTGTCCCCATGGCTTTGCATTCATTGAATGTTAGCACCATACCCTGTCCCCATGGCTTTGCATTCACTTAATGTTAGCACCATACCCTGTCCCCATGGCTTTGCATTCATTGAATGTTAGCACCATATCCTGTCCCCATGGCTTTGCATTCATTGAATGTTAGCACCATACCCTGTCCCCAGGGCTTTGCATTCATTGAATGTTCTCTCATTGTGTCACTATGTTGGGTTGTTTACACTACCCAGATCAGAAGTAATGGATACCCCAGGCGCTATAACTACTGTACTATGGAGGAGAGAAATGCTGAGAAGTCATGGAATGTTAATTTGCCGGGTCATAAGGTTATACATGGATCAAACCATTATGTTTAGAATTGGCATGTTAATTTCTTAAGATATGAACCTGTCTTTCAATTTCAAACATTCAATTTTGAAGTATTATCAAACACTTGCTATTGCCTACAACAAATTCACTCATTATTTTCCTCTTCAAGTAACTTGTAAAATTTGCTTTTTGTTTCCTCGTTGGTCCCTCCTATTTTGAATGTCCCTGTTCATTTTCATCTTGGTCTGATTTCTGAACACTACATTTCACTGCAAGTGCAATTGATAATTGGAAATTCCATCACATGAACTGGACACAATTTAATAATATTACTACATATAATTGATACTGCTCCACCCCTAGCATTGATACATCCATCATTTTCATTCATAGTTAATTTATTTTTACATTTTGAATAAATACTGATCTTAACATTTGATCCCGACATTCTGAACATTGATTTACAAGGTGTATGAAGCGAGTATTTCAAATTTGAATTTCACATACATGTGTATAACTCGTACATTTTTAAGTGTCTTGTATTCAAATATTTACACTGCTTGGTCAAGTATGTTGTGCAAAGAATGTAAAAATTTCAAAGTCACCGAAATCATTTGGCTGTTTAATCAAGCATCAGGCCCCATTCATTTATTTTTTCTGTAATTTCAGTAAAATTACTTTTGGCTGTTTAATCAAGCATCAGGCCCCATTCATTTAATTATTTTTTCTGTAATTTCAGTAAAATTACTTTTGGCTGTTTAATCAGGCCCCATTCATTTAATTATTTTTTCTGTAATTTCAGTAAAATTAGTGCAAAAGTTTTGTCAAGGGTTGTAGATTGTAAAAAAAGTATTTAATCCTTGACCTAAATTAAAGTTGAATACGTTTGTGCCATCAAACGTAAAAGTGTAACAAGTCTAGTTCGACCATTCCTCCCTAGAATACTCAGCTGTTTGACTCCTGCTACTAAATAGATATTTACATATCTTTAGTAATTACTGGGTCTGCTATTCATTACAAATAATAATTGATTACCTTTGAAAAATATTGAAATATGAATAGTAATTAATTTTAATATGTCATATAATTCTTTGGATTATAATTGTAGTGCTATCGAATTGCAAACGCCGACTGGCCTTCCGAATTAAGCACATCATTCTGTATTATTTTGATTTCCTTATCCCATGCTTAATAATTAGATTATGAATATCCTGAAAACACAATTCAAAACATGTCACCTTCGGCTTTATTATCATAATTAATACATGAGCTATGTGGTTGGCCTGTAAATTACAGAAACAACATTTAATAGGCTGTCATGTGTTTGCATTGATTCCGCTCCTCATTTATAGTGGCCTCTAGGTATCGCCATCAGACTTTGTTTTAAACAGACTTAAACTGTTATAAAATTGTCTGTCCTAGTTCATGATTGGTAAGACTAGTGACGCTGCTTGTGTGGCCTCTTAAATGTTCTGAAGTTCAGATCTGTCGTGGTTTTCAGTTCCTTGTGTGTGGGTGTGTACTGTGTCTCCTTGTTTGGGGCCTCATACAGTATAAGCTGTGTTTAAGGATATACAATGTATGCGTTGGGAGACAGGCAGCTTTTTACAAGCGTGTGTTCTACTATACCAGTTTTCATTTTGTGTGGTTGTCATTCTTTGAGGATTACGTCCAGAGTCCCTTCTCATTATTTACAACGTCCAGCGCTTCACAGTAGGAGTGGGTATCACTTACGTGCATTATCTGTGCCTCAGTTGAACTTGAAGGATATGTACAGTGTGTGCTTTTGAACACATCAGTCTGTAATGATACATTTTAGGATTTGTGGCCTGCAATTTTTCTCTGTATATTTTCTGCTACGAAGTATTGCCACTGTTATATAAAATGGACCCAGACACCATATCTGTATCCTCGAACATTCTGGACGAGATTTTTATGTGCCTTGAGACATCGTTCAACCTACTGGAAGACATTACCAAAGATGAGGGCTTCGAAGACATCTCTGAGGAAAACAAGGTTCTTATTTTGATCTTTCTAAACTTCATTCAATTTTTCTTTTTTTTGATGTTTTGGGATTTTGGTATTTATTCCATCTTGATTTCATGCGTCATTACTATTTCCCATCTCCTTACAAGCTTAAAAACATAATGTTTATACTTGGTTCTTCACTTTACCGTGGTTGGTTACAGTGTTCCTTCAACATGACAGCTATAATAGGTAACTTGCTACTCCACGTTTTCATGAACGCAGACACAACATCTGATGTCCATATTTGTGAAAACATGAAATATCATCAGTCTCTTCTTTGCCATGGTAATGAGAATCATTAGCATGAACCAAGTTTTTCCAGAGGTCATGTGTTCTGACCTCATTTCCTGAAGTGTGAAGTTCCATCAAGGAAGACAAGTCTCCTAATTGCCAGTCTCTCATAATCTAATAATAATTTCTAGTGTCCCTCAGGAAAGTAAACAGTTTTTCAGAAATGCGTATTTTCTTTCATTTCCCAAGATAAATGCAATCACGAAATATGTGTGTACCCAAGATTTTATGAAATCTTTTTTAAAAAATTTGTCTTTTTTTTTGTCTTTTATTTGTTCATGAATTGTAGTACATGTAATCAACACATAGTAGATTCTTGTGAAGGGATTTATATTGATACAAATCCAAGTGTAGGATTATGGTGTCATCTCCTTATAAGCCCCAAACTCGAAACCTTTTTATTAATTTATTCTTTCTTTTTTTTTCCAGATTACAGATTTCAATTAATCGGTATTGAATTATTTTCAGTTAAAATCTTTCTTCTCTAGGATGCATGGCGAATCTGATGAAAGGAATGATGTCTTTTGACTGTCACCAGATTTGGTCGTTCAATGTTTCAAAAATTTGTTTTTCCAGAATGGATTGAATGCTCTTCACCTTAGCTCTAAAGAAGGCCACCTTAATATTGTAAGAGAATTGCTGAAGAGAGGTGCCAATGTGGACGCAGCTACTAAGGTAAGACTCTCCTTAAGAATGTGCACAGTGGGAAGGGACATTCTCATTAAGGTGGGTCACTGAACATCAACTTCTATCCTGTCTGAACAAACCTAAATTAGATTTACTACAAAATATACAGTAATTTGTTGCTTTCAAATTCAGGGAGTTTGTAACCATGGTAATAAAGCAGAGACTTGTATAGTAAATTTAAAATAGGATGTAATGTTATCAAATTGTCAGTCTCAATCAATCAAGGATAAATCTATTTCAGTAGAAGTAAAAATTTTACAGTTCTGCAATAAAAGAAACTTTTCAGGTTTTTTGGTAAATGTTATACTTAATTTTTATTTTTTGAATAAAAATGACTTTTTAGTCTCAGTTTTAAGTGATAGTCTGATTTCATGTATTTTTTTATTATAGAATAATGATGGGAATTTATTATTTTATTAATTGTCTTTAATCCTTTTTCCCGCTTTCCTACAAATGCAATTTTTTGGGAAAGTACATTACATTGTATCTGACTTGTTTGGCTTTCAGATCATTCCCTAAATGGTATTCCAGGTTTAACCAGATTTACCTGCGGCTATATTTCAAATGACTAGTTGTACTGCATTGCAATTTGTACCAATGTACCTAATTCCTATTAATCAAATAATAAACAAGAAAAGAGTGCTATACCTATATAAGTAAGAACAAAACCTGCAAACAGTGCTTATACCATAGAGACTTGTTATTTATATATCAATAAACAGTACTTGAAAAGTTTCGTTTCACATTTATCGTACCTTAACAGAAGCGTCAATTATTTTCACAGATTATTAATTGAAATATTCACATCATACAATAAAAAA